ATACGCAGTGTTTCAGAAACTACATAATGTGGGGATACATAGTGCCGAAGAGGAATTTGTCATCAAGTACTTTTGTTGTTTGTTTCTTTTTGTTATATTTGTAGCTAGGATACAGTTTCCATTATTTAGGGGCTAAGTGGGAAGTTGTGCATCTATGTAGGTGATCAATCATAAATTGCAACAAAAATCGTTTTGCTTTATAAAAGCAAGTGACATTTTTCATGTTTTTGCTTGTTTGTAGGTTGGTTGGTGGCCTGCTCTCCCACAGTCTAGATTACTGTTTTGTTTTAGAAGATGAAGATGGTATATGTGGATATGCTGTAGGCACAGTCGATGTTGCACCGTATCTTACAAAATGCAAACATTCCTGGATTCCTTTTATGCAGGAAAAGTATACAAAACCAAAATGTGACAAGGAACTCTCAGCGGCAGAGGTAAATATAATTCATTTTATTTGTTTTTGGGTTTTTTTTGTGTAGGGAAATGACTAAATGAGACCAAGGTTGTTTGTAGTACTCACTCTGCCCAATGTTAATGGTGAATACAGAAAAATAAGTACATACCACAATTATTTTTATTTTATTTTTTAATTTATTTTATTTAAAAAAAGTTTAACTTAAAGGGGCATACATATTGTTAAACACTCAATTAGATAAACACTTGAAAATATAGAAGTATAATTTCCACATTCACAGTGTTTTTTTTAAAGAGGGATCAGGCAACATTCAGCACTCAAGATGTGGACTACATCTCCCATCATGCTCTTAAAACCACACTCTTTCTACTTTTTGTAGCTGTAAATCAAACTACAACTCTTGCTTTATTCATAAAAAAAAAACGTAGGCAAAAATGATCGTACCCAACCATAGTCACAATATAGCATCATTCACATTTTTGTGACTGATGCTATGTTGTGACTATGGTGGGGTATGATCATTTTTCCAGACCAGCTCATTTTTGCCTATGTTTTTTTTTTTTTCCATTTAGATTTAATTTGAGAAACTTAATTTGGTTAACACACTTGTTAAAAATAGTTCCTGTGCTTCCTTAAGACATGTACAACTGTTTTGTTGGTGAAGCAAACAAAACAAGTTAAAGCTATTTATAGCTACTCTGATTTAGAGAGGGTTTGTCTCGCAGCAAGAAAAAAGTGCCTTTTTTAATATTTGTTTACCAGGATGCAAAATACTTAATTTGTGCAGTGCCTGCTTTTGTGATTTGTATGTTCATGTTGTGTTTTTGCTGCCCTGATTCTGTGTGATCATGATCTGTGTGTACTGTAATCACTATGGTTTGGCCAGGATATCAAAAAGAATTGTGTGCATGCGCAATCAGTGTGACTGTTGCTGACTCCAACATTTTTCTTTCATTAGAAAATTATGCTGAGTTTTCATGAAGAGCAGGAAATTTTGCCAGATACATTCCTTGCCAACTTTCCTTCACTGATAAAAGTGGACATTCACAAAAAAGTCACAGACCCAAGTGTGGCCAAAGGAATGATGGCGTGCCTCCTATCCTCTCTGAAAGCTAATGGTACGTTTTTTTTTTGGTTTTTTTTGTTATCTCTGCATAGGTAATCTGTAGTTAACTGCAATAGTGCTGCCTAAGCTCAGAACCACCCTTTATAGTTCCAAATAAAACATGTGATAGAAAAATAAAATGTCCTTGGAGCAAATAATAAAGTGCAAAATGTGAACTCACAATAAAGTTCAGAAATAATGTGATAAAGATTGTTACCTTAGAAAGGCTTTAAAATTCTAGCCAGAGTGCGTGTGTGTGCGTGTGCGCGCGCTTGGAAAAAGTCCCAAAGGAGGATGAAAGGCTTACGACAAATCATCCATTTGGCTAACAAACTTCAAAGGAACTCTGGCGAACGAAAGGTGAACCGTTACCCTTCCAGCTTATTGTAACTGCTGTTGGAGACTGCAAACAGAAGGGTTTTCTGAATTTACAGTGTGCACCTTACCAGAAATAATTGGCCCCCTGGTGGGCAAAGTCTATATAGCACAATCCTTTTTGTCCAATTTCCTTTGTGAGTGTCTGGCTATTTCTGTATTTTTGGCTGAATTAAATACCACACTATAAGTTGGTTGTTTTTTTTGTTTTGTTGTTTTTTTTGTTATAAGAGTGCCTTGACCAGAATTTTAAATCCTTTTTAACATCTTTATCACACTATTTCTGTACTTTGTTGTGTAATACTGGTCAGCATAATGAAATTTAACATTTGCAAATTATACGGCTATAGTGCCAAGAGTTCCCAGGCACTGTATGACAACCGTTTGTCATTCCATTAATGAACAATGACATTTAACTTTGCTGTGCTAGTATTCACTGGCTGAGAGTGTTAGCTGCCATCTAAGGCCAATGAAAATTATTGTTAACATATTGACAGATTACCAGAATACTGCACTTGGGTACTCTAGGCGCCAAAGCCAGTACAGAGCGTTGGGTTGTTATCGAGCCTGGAGTGTCCCTAAGGCACATGTGATCTACTGATATTAGGGATACAGAGAATGAGGTGTTGAAAACTCCTGCAGGGGGTTGTCAGACTCTAACTGGTTTTATTAGGAGGTTTAATTGTGTATCAACCAAAGGATTTCCAGTGAAATACACACACAATGTATTCTATTTTTTACACATGCAAAGATAGGGATGGTTATGTATGGGTTATAGCAGTGACCAATCAATGTGATCCTTATTCTGTTAAGGAATCCTTTGCCTTGCCAGGGGCAAAAAACGAATTTATGCATCAAAACAAATGTAAAGTTCATTTTGTCAAAATAATGAAAAGTAGAAATTTTTAAAATATCTTTTGTTGTATTTGTGTGTCTTTTTGCTAGGATCTCGAGGTGCATTTTGTGAAGTGCGGCCTGACGACAAGAGAATCTTGGATTTCTACAGCAAACTGGGCTGCTTTGAAATTGCCAAGATGGAAGGATTTCCAAAGGATATTGTTATTCTCGGAAGGACCCTCTGAATATTTCAAAATCTGGAATTTTTTTCTAAAAGTTTGAATGCTAGTTAAATTGGTTATAACATTTTGTAATATTATGTATGACTGCATATCTTACCATCTGGTAGTTTTGGTTAAACTCCTATGCATAAGCGTCAAGATAATACTGCTTATAAAACACAATAAGCAAAGGTTTTAAGACAAAGAAATGGTTAAGGCTTTTATGAGATGCTACCGGTAACTTGCATGGGCTGCCGCCTTGGAGGAATGTCTACTCCAGGTTAACACAGAGAAGGAAATGTGCCTGGTTGTTTTAAGTATAGTTTTTGATTTACGAGACTATTTGATGTTTCATCACTTTGTCATACATTTAAACGTTTGAGCAGCATGGGCATATTGGGCAATGCTTTGCTTACAATTGTTAGCCTTTAAAAGGTTAAATATTCAAGTCGTATGTTTAAAATATTCATGAACCAACTTCTTATTGTACATGTCAAGAAGGTGATTTTCGAATAATTTTTTTATTTTTTTTCTCCTCTTCCCTTTTATATTTTCTCCCAACCCAGAAAAAGTGACAGGTGTAGCACTACATATGGGTCATGAGAATTACCTGTGGCCTGCAGTTAAAAGGCTTTTTGGAGCCTAGTAAGCATTCAGGGCCAGCCCTGGTGTGACAATGGAGGCAACCCCTTCCTGTAAATGTTTAATGTATGTACAGTTCTTGTGTTTACCATTTTTTTTGTATTTTATTTCTTTTGTTATTTCTTTATAAAAGTTTTTGACCAAGCATGGTTCTTACAGAATAATAGTTTAAATAAAATAATATAGCCCTTTGGTGCTCTGAGGGTTAAACCTGCCTATATTTTCTGTTTACATTGTGCCTCCTGTGAGGTAATGCTTCACAGGAATATATTGTCTATATATTTCAATCCTTATTGTGTTCAATTGTGGTCTGTGATGTTTTTGGTTTTTATGTTCCAAGAACTTTTTTTTAATTATTAGTACGCTGTTCATTTTTAAGGATTAACACATTTTTATTTTTTATTTTTTTTTTTTCATTTTAGTGTTTTTAGTACTTGCAACATTTCTATGCTTTTCCTTGTAGATGCACTTACATTTTCCATGCTATAGAATTGTCTGGCTAACTGAGACTTGTGGTGGCCAAGAGAAATGTTGTTCTTGGTTATACTTTGCCCACCAAAATCCCTTTAATAAAAAAAAAAAAAAATTGAAAAGCACAAAACATACCAGAACTTGCAATAAACCATTTTCCTCATTATTATTATTGCTAAGTGATACATATTGATTGTGCTTTGATCATGTTGTTTACCTGGAGATGTGTTTTTAATATAAGTATCTGTTGACTGAAGATATTAGCATTTGGTAAGCGGATGTCATGTACCAGGCTTTTTATTTCTTTTACTGCTTTGTACCAAAATAGTTTTAACATATTGATGTATCAGGTACCAAATTGCATGATTGTTCCATTATTGTAATCTCCGTTTTCATTGCTTCTCTTCTGTCCGAGGTACATTAATCTGAAACTAGCAAATTTGCGTGGTGTAAATTTTTTTTCCCCTCACTACCTCCCTGTAGCCCTGAAAACATCCCCACAGCCTCTGTACATTATTTACCATCCTCTCCCTTTAAATTCCCTTCCACACTCCACACTACTCTCTATTTAGCCTTTCAACGTGATGTCAAAGTGGGCTGGAGAACTTGGCCCAGTGCTGGATTGAAGGCAAGTTGTTGTGGTTTTTTTTTTGTTTTTTTTTTTTTTTTTTTTTAATACCCTGGTCTATACTATCATAAGAAGAATTCCAAGCTGCATAACCCATACAATTAAAGACTGCAGGGCTGCCAATAGCTGAAGGGGCTATATCAGCAGGACAGGTTCGGTTTTACTTTACGGTGCCATTTGCTTATGGCAGTAAGCAACTTCTCATGAAACCGTTAAAAGATGAGGCTTTACGCTTACAGGTTTAAAGGAACACTTCTGTAAAACCGTATTATCTGTGTTAAGTACATTTTTAACTTTAGTGAAATTGTTTTTAGAACACTATATCTGTCTGAAAAGTTGTAACATAATTAAAGCAATGTTTTTTGGGGGAGTTTAGCGAATTCCCCCAGTTTTTGGTTTGTGTATAGATTGCTCTTCCCCCAGATTCACCAAAGTCGGAGAGTTCTCTACACTTGTCACTTGTACGGAAACATTCACATGTTTCATTCTGTTGTACTTTGAGAGAACGGGGTTGATGCATCCAATCTGTCTTTGAATTCACACTTGAAACATGCTTAGAAAAATGTGATAAACCAGTCTAGCATAACTGATGGGAAGGCCTTGGTTATTCTACATTTGTTGTGGGTTCCTCCTGCCATGCTTTAATATCTGCAACATGCTTTAAAGGACACTGCAGGCACCATAACTGCTTCATCTCATTGAAGTGGTTATAGTGTCTGGGAGCTCCTGATGATGTCTTTCTATTCAGCAATAAACTTTGTTTTAATGCGAAGCAACAGTCCCCAGAAACCCATTCCCTCTGTGCTATTTGGACTAATGAGGGAAACAAAGCCTGAGCAACAATGGTCAGAAAGTGTCAGCGGATTGCATTCTGCCTATCACAGGGCTTTTGCAGGTATTGATCAGTCACTGATGTGTGTAAATCTGTTTTCAGTGGAGGCAGGACTGTAAGAATCCAGGGCACTCTTTCAGTGTATAACTACTCAAAAATGATTGTAACTTAAAGTGACACTATAGTCACCAAAACAACTTTTAGTTTTATGAAGCAGTTTTGGTGTGTAGATAGAAACATAGAATGTGGCTGCAGATAAAAACCATTTGGCCCATCTAGTCTGCCCAATTTTATAAATACTTTCATTATATTATATATATCTAGGATAGCTGGATGCCTATCCCGTGCATGCTTAAACTCCCTTTACCACTTCAGCTGGAATGCTATTCCATGCATCCACTACCCTCTCAGTAAAGTCATGCTTCCTGATATTATTTTTTAAACCTTTGCCCCTCTAATTTAAGACTATGTCCTCTTGTTTTCTTCTTTTAAATATAGTCTCCTCCTTTACTGTGATTCCCTTTATGTAATTAAATGTTTCTATCATATCCCCCTGTCTCGTCTTTCCTCCAAGCTATACATGTTAAGATCCTTTAACCTTTCCTTGTAAGTTTTATCCTGCAATCCATGAACCAGTTTAGTAGCCCTTCTCTGAACTCTCTCTAAGTATCAATATCCTTCTGAAGATGCGGTCTCCAAGTGAGGTCTCACCAGTGTTCTGTACAAAGGCATAAGCACTTCTCTTTCTACTGCTAATACCGCTCCCTATACAACCAAGCATTCTGCTAGCCTTCCCTGCCCCTACAGTCTCTCTGCTCAATTCTCTACCATTTAGGAGTTAATTCACTTTGTTTATGCAATCCTAGTCACACCTCCCTGCATGTGACTTAGCCTTCCTAAACACTTCATGTAAAGAGTCATCTGTTTATACTTTCTTCATTGCAAATTCTGTTTAATTTAGAATTTCTTATCTCCTGCTATGTGAATAGCTTGCTAGATGCTGCAGGAGCCTCCTCGTGTGTGTTTTAAAGTTCAACTTACAGAGCAGGAGATAAAAACTTTTAAAGTTACATATGATTACAAATTAAACCATTTTGATTTAATGCATACTGTATGATTGATAGCCAGAGGAGGTGTTACTAGGGCTGCATAAACCAAAACAAAAGTGATTTAACTCCTTCATAGCAGAGAATTGGTCAGTGAAACTTCAGATGTATGATCTATACACTGAAACTGCTTCATTAAGCTAAAGTTGTTTTGGTGATTATATTGTCAATTTACGATGCATATAACCATTATTCCTGTTGTAGTAATAGCACTGGTTTATTAGACACATTTCTAGGCCAAATTTGTCAAGCTGGAAAATAGCTTAGTTGGAGAGGGCTTTGTATTAAACAAATTAAGTTTCTTGTCTGTTCTTAATTCCTGCTTTATGTAATTATACTTGGACTGGTACTGGATAGGGTATTTAATTTTTATTTTTTTATAAATGGCTAAAATGCATTATATCCTACAACATGGGATACAAATAAAGAGGTAATTAAACCTGATAAACTAGCTTGAGATGTGTCCGGATGATTGACAGGTATTTGTGATATACAAGCTGACTGATACATTTTATGGCAAGACAGGAGGCTTCATATTTTCTTTACCTTCTTTATTGAAAACCTCCAGCAGCAAATAAATAGTTTACAACTTTTCCAAACAACCAATCAGAACAAAACAGAAGCAGTATAATAACCCTCAGTCAGACCCTCCTTCCTCTTTCTTTGCTGCTTCCTCCAGGTGAGCACTATCCAACTCAGAGAGTATGTCTGCTCTGGGTTATTTGTGTTATTAATAGCAGCATTATTGCTTATTTGTTTTATTTATTGGGGCTCTTTTGGTTTTATGCCAACCCTCACACGCCCCGCGGTTGCGGCGCCTTCCTGGGCTTCACTGTGATCTCCCCTCCCGGATTTATGGCCTTCCTGGTCCCTGTTGCGGCTATTGCCCCCTCCCCTTGACTGCACTACTGGACTTACAGTCCTGTTGAAATCATACTGAGGGTAATCCCCTCCACTGCCGGCCTATATATTGCATGGTGTGCTTGTTGGATGACCTCCTCTTGCACGCTGGCCTCATCAGATACCACACATAGTGTTTTTACCTCTATTGCAGTGACACAGTCTTGACTGACGAAGCAGACTTCCATGCCCCAGAAGGCCACCAGGCCTGGCTTTGTGCCGCCATAGCGGACTTGTTACCTAAAGTCCTCTCTGCCTTCCACGGTGACGCTCTACTGAACCCAGCACCTCAGGTGCTCGGGGATCCGACTCTAGAAACTCGCTCCACATGCAAGAGGCCTTGGAATGGTGTTCCCACCACTAAAGGTAAGATGCCTGCCAAATTGGCCAGGATGACCTCTGGCTCAGCCACCCACCCGGTGGAGGAGGGTTATGACATACTAGATAAGTACTGGGCTGACCGCTCTGGCAGATCCTGTATCCTTCTGGCCATCCCTTTTTTTTGATCCATGACTCATCAAGCGCCCTCGATTGTTGGAATGGGCCCCTCTGGACCACATTGCAGAATTCCTGCACTACTGACTCCGCCACACCTTGGACAAGGTCAGGGCGAAACTTGCCCCCGCCCTACACCACCGGACAAAGTGTCCCTCACGCCCGACTTCAACCCGGTGTTTACCGGATTTGGTCATAAAGGAGGCAAAGACTCCTGCAAGGGCCTGAGCAGGGGCTACGCTCATCCCAAGATAAACTGCTGGACGTCAGCAGCCCGTTGACTCGATGTTGCTCATGGTGGATGACGAGCTACAAAGTGGAACCCCGGTGGATGCTGAACCTCTATGGGAATGGGCCCAACGGGCCATCTGTTTACTGAGCAAGGCGGCCCATTAAAAATTGAACGGCAAGCTGGTGGATATGGCGTCCAAGGACCTGGGGCCTGATGCCAAAGGCCTATTCTTTGGGGATGCCTTCATGAAGGTGCTGAACCAGCACGTTTCTGTCTATATGTCCCTCAACAAGGCACAGATATCCCTCAAGAGGGTTTTCAGTTCAGGGGTTCGTTTTTCCTCCAGGGCTGGTCGACAAAGGGGTAGTGCCACCAACAGAGCCACCTTTATGGGCAACAGACTCCGCCTCTCATAATCCTCCCGTTACCAATACTGCCCACGGTTTTCCCGAGGAGCCTCCAGAGGACACTGCACCCTCCACAAGAGCGATATACGCCTCAGGTAAGAGTCCATCCTTATTTCTCCTGGTTGGAACACATCTGGCAACTCACATGCCTTCCATTCGGCCTCAGCTTGGCCCCTTGGTGCTTCACCAAGCTGCTGAAACCAGTCATGGTGACCCTGAGAGCCAGGGAACTCGATCATCTATCTAGACTATTTTGTGTTGATAGCACAGGGTCCTGCGTCGGCAGACAACGTTCCTGATCCGTCTGCTGCAGGGCCTGGGATTTGTCATCAACGTGGAAAAATCGGAATTGAACCCCTTTCGGTTGGTCCAATTTCTAGGTTTCATGGTGGATTCTGTTCAGGTGGTGCTCCACCTTACGATGTCCAAGGTGACCGCCATCAGGAAGAATAACCGATGCCTGCTCCGCAACCCAAGAGTCACACTAAGGGATCTGGCCCAGACAGTAGGCCTGTTGCATTCAAGCCATCTTTCCAGGACCCCTGCACTATTTGGCACTCCAAAGCCTGAAGACTCGTTATCTCTGGTCATGTGCCTCGTACAACCGAATCGTGTGGCTTTCGGACAAAGCCCGTCTGGAACTCCATTGGTGGCTTCGATATATGGAGGCCTGGAACGGCAAGGCGATTTCCAGATCTTAACCAGACTTCGTCCTGGAATCAGACGCCAGCTGTATGGGCTCGGGCGCTACCTGCGATGGAGTGGCTACGGGAGGATTCTGGACTCCAGAGGAGAGAGCTCTACACATCAACTGTCTGGAACAAATTGCAGGATCATTCGCAGCTTCACCAAGGGGAAGGGTCACTGCTCCCTGCTTCTCCGCATGGACAACGTCTCTGCTGTCCGCTACAAACCAGTTGGGAGGTTCCCGCTCCAAACTCCTGTTGGATCTCACGAAGGGTCTCTATCAATACTGTCTGGACAAAAATTTGTCTCTTGTGGCGGAATATCTCCCGGGACAGCACAATTAAGTAGCGGATTGGTTCTCCCAACATTGGAGAGATGCCAGCGATTGGCAACTTCACTCTCTGGTGTTTAGACTACTGTACTCCACTTTGAGGCCCCTTTCACTTGGATCTGTTCGCATCCAGGGCGAACTGTCAGATGGAGTTGTTCAGTTGGCTTTTGGATCCCCTCAGCGAGGCGGTGGGCGCGTTTTTCCAAGAGTGGCCTTCCTCGGGGGCTTATGGGATTCTCCCTTTCTCCATGATACTTTGGACGCTGCAGCAGACCAAACTCCTGGGAGTGTCGATTCTCCTGGTCACACCACTTTGGAGGAGTCAAACATGGTTCACTCTCTTGCTGGAGTTGTCCTGCGTTGTCGTTCTCCTTCGGGATCCACAGGGGAATCCACATCCATTGATATTAGAGAATCGCCTACCACTGGTGGCTTGGACCATTTCCGGGGTTCCTGGGATGCAGGCCTATCGACAACGACTAGAGAGTTGCTCTGGGACCAGAAGATCATACCTCTGGAGAGATGTTTGGACCCCTTTACGACCCCTATCATGGCATTCCTGAACTTCCTGGCTGAATTGTTTTTCTCAGGGTAAGTCGTATAGGACCATTAACATGTTTCGATCGGCTATCTCGGCAGCTCATGTGCCTTCTCAAGGTTCTGGCATCGATAAGGACCCCTCGGTCTGCAGACTGCTCAGAGATGTACACCTTTCGAGACCCCCTACCTCTCGCTCTTCCTGGTTTTGGGATGTATCGCTTGTTTTGCGATTCCTTGAGGAGTGGCCTCATAACGGGATTTGTCTCTTTGCCAGCTTTCCATTAAGCTAGCTCTCCTGTTATGTCTTGTCTTTTCCTCGCATTTCTGATGTTTGTGCTTTTGATGTAGAATCTTTCTCCTTTTCACCGTATGCTGTCTCTGTTTCTATTTCATGCAGGACGAAATCTAATTCGTCTTCTGTGTCGTATCCCTACTTTCCTGATAGGCCGCATCTCTGTGTGGCACGTTGCTTACGGACCTATATATCCAGGACCTTGTCCTTCTGCTCATGGGCAGCTGTTGATTTCCTATGTATGACCGTTAAGGGCTGTTTCTGCACCTATGATCGCTCGTTGGATTATCACTGATAATGTGGGATCCATGTAAGAGGCAAATTGTTGTTAAATGGTGTGTCCTCACTAGGGGACTGGTGCTAGAGTACAACTGGCATCATAATCACTATAGTGGGCTGTGATGGTTATAACCGAGCAGTTAGTCTCTATCTTCCCTGTTTCTGTGCAGGGAGTGAAGACCATAGAGACTAGCTGTTGGTTTTCAAACAGTCTGACCCACGGAAGGAATTTGTTGTTTTTTTTCTCATATTTTACATTGATACCATTAAAAAAAAATCTTTTTTTTTTTTTTTTTTAACTTGCTACTTTAGCAAGTCTGGCCTTAAAGGAACACAAACATGTATTACTGTCACTATAGCTCTGAGAACACTATTTCGTTTACCTGCCTCTCATAATCAATGTAAAAGTTAAGTTTATGCACCTTTATTCCAGCGCTATGCTGATGTTTGGTTCCACCTCCTTGCCTGAAATCATCAAATGTGACAATCTCTGACAATCCAATGCTTTCCCATAAGAAAGCATTGGGAGGTTATTGTGAGCCAATCATAGGGCATCAATGCATCTCATTCAGTGTCTCCATGCAGGAAGGGGAGATGCTGAATGCAGGTGCTTGACTGCTGAC